AAATTTAATCAATTATTTGAAAGACAGTGTTTTTCTTCTGTTTACAAGGTACCCAGAAACAGTTGCTAGCTTTCACAAATTTATTTGTGATTCAAAGCCATCTCCTGTGGGTTTCTCATCAGCCATTTGAGATGATTATTCATGAGATATTCATCACAAGCAACCATCCTTCTGTCTGACAACATTTTGGAGACACAACTTCAGAAAGAGTTTGGAGCAGGTGAGATATCATTATACTAATTTGAACTAATTTACTGGTATCTAAAATATCTAATTGCTTCAGGTGAAATACAGTACAATATTTCATTTTTTCTAATGAAAAAAAAAAAAGAAGTTTAACTTCTGAAATTTCTTTTGAAATCTATTCTCTCTCCTTCAAAATAATAACTTGCACGGAAGAGGAAATAATTCCACTTGATTTAAACATCCTTTTAACATTTCTGGAAGAATATGCCTTGGAAATTCATATCAGTTCTACTCAAAATTATGCTATAAGCTTTTGACAACAACAAAAACCTATTATTTGCAAAAACAGTTAAATACTGGAAAGAGGGTTTTTTTGCCCTAATAGTAAATATAGTCTAGAATTCTGTTTTCAAATTCAGGTGAGTTAAAAAAAAAAAAAAAAAAAAACCAGCAAGGGGTGCAAATTTCTTTCAGTAAATGTTTGAAATGAGCTTGCATTCTTCTAACTTAGAAGCTGATAGCTGCTAATTCACCTTCCTTTCACCTGGCTTTGAGTTGCATCCAAACGACTCCTGTGGTTATAATAAAATAATGTGGTTTATGCACTGCATCTAAAAGTTACTGAAGGGAATATATGGAAGGCAGTTTCTCCTATTTTAGACAGATAATGAAGGGTGGAAAATGCTAGTTATGCCTGCTGTCATGCCTCAGTACGATGCAACAGGACCAGAGCTACATGACTGAAACTCCAGGCTGAAGAGTCACAAGTATGCACATCACCATCATGCCAGGAACAGGACTTCACATCACACAGTTTAACATCCTGAAGAATATTTGGACCACAGTGGGGAGGAACACATTTGGAAGGCACTTGTGGCTTTTGGTAGTCAACCTGAGACATCAGAGCCTGGATGATCAGAGGTTTATCCAGCCACGATACTGATTCTGCTTGCGATACAGCCTTCTGCATCCCTGATCCTTCAGTGCCTCAGCTATGTACCAAAATTACCATCCTTACATGGCTAATACTGAAAATTCATGCCTACATGAAATGATTGAGAAAACTGGTAGGCACACAGTAAGAATAACCTCCCTCCTTTGTTAATATTAAACACACACCTACAGTAATATGCAGCCTCTATGCTTTTTGTCTCCTTAAACTGCCAAATAATGCCATGGATCACAGCAAGCAATACAGTGAAGCTGTTGTCAAGAAATGTCTGCCTTCAATTGAATTTACATCATATAATCCAACAGCTGCAGGCAATGCCACCATAATACATTTTGGGAGATCAGATGTAGAAGAGGTGTCCACCCTCACTGCACGCTACGCTCTGTGATCAGCCACATCTTACACCCCTTTCCTCTCACCATGGGGCACTACGAGCAAATAGCATTTTCTCTCCAGCACAGGAAAGTTGCTGCAGCCTGGGTAATGTTTGTGTTTGTTTGTTTTAAAGAAAGAAAACTACTTCTGATCCAGAAATCAGTAGAAAAAAATGACACAGAGGAAGAGGAAGCACAAGTACAATTACAATCAAACAACATGGGGATAGAAAAAAAGCTAGCAACAGAGCTGATAAAAAACAAACATTTAAAATATTGCATTCTGAAAATGATAAAATGAAATATTGTAACACTACCAAAACCTTTTAGCCTTTTCACTTCAAAGAAAATATGAAAAAACCATTGAACCGATACCAAGTTTATATTCCACTGAAATAGCATTTTTTTAGAGGAAAAGCAATCCATCAGAAAATGTTGAACCAGCTGTAAGAACTTTATCTGCATGGATTACTCAGGTGAAAAATAGTCTATTTTGTACTGTTCACTTTCAAAAGTAAACAACACTTTGCATATTAAGTTCTGAGATACTCATTGTTCTGTAAGTCTCCACTGATGCATAGTCAGCTTATTCTATTCCATCAAACAGAACATTTCCTATTTAGTTTTGTGTTACTTCATCCTGTAAGTTAATAACTAGTTAAGCACTGAGAAATCTTCTGCAAGCACAGAAAGGCTTAAACTCAGCAGAATGATGGGGGTGGAGTCTCTTTCCTCTTATTTTGGAGGAAATATTTTTTTGATGAAATCATCTTAGCTGTGGCCCTTTACACTCCTGTTACATCCCCTGAGCATTTCAGAATATTACCCACATTTTGTAAGTGTTTTAAGCTTCTGAATACATTTGAAAGGAATATTAATCTTCAAAATCACAAAAATTGCTTGCCTGTTGCTAGTCAGCTAACAGAAATCATTCTTCGAAGTAGAGGCCTGAAAAACAGTCTGGTATTTTTCTTGAAACAAAGAGGGACGTAGAAAAAAAAAAAAAACTTCATTTAAGAATTTGCTGCAAATCAATTTTCATAAGCTTTTAAGCTTATTTGGAAATCATCTGATAAAGGTTTACAAAAGTCCTGCAGGCAGAATACATTGGAATAGCACATCAAGTTATGGGGAAGAGCACTCGCAAGAAAAGGACAAGCAGCAAATAGCATTTCTAGAAATCAGCTGCCTGACAATTCTTAAAAGAACAGCATTTTTATAATTAATTCTATAGCTGTTTCCTAGCACTGCTTTGGAGCTGGAGCATCACAATGGTCCAGCTTTCCCACCAGCAACCCAGCAGTACCGTGACAGCCTCTGTGCAGCCCATTGGGCAGTTTCAAGGCAGTCAGAGACCCTCAAGTCTCAACTCACACTGATCCTGTTTTTATCTCTTCAGGCCTCCCCAGAGCCATTACTCTCAATTTGGCTAACTCAAAACCTTAAGGGACAGAGCTTGGGAGCCTGGAAGCTGCTGGACTTCCTGAGATCGTTACCCCTCTCTAGCCAGAACTTACCTCTCTGAAAAAGCCCATCCAGTGCTCTGTAATTTTCTGTGGAAGGATGTGTCTGAGTTTAATCCCAACAAAACCAAATGTGAAATCTCAAATCCAAAACAAAACACAATGACCTCTCTATACCAGCCCAGACAAGGGCTTTCCGAACACTGAAAACCTTATACATATTTTAAGTGGCTGCTGACAACATCTGCAAGGTATAAAATTTACTGCTCTACCAAGGATTTTAGCTTTCTCCAAGAAACAGAGCAATGCTGTAGCAAGAAATCATTAACACACATTAAAAAAAAAAGATTTACAGCTGCTACTCTGGGACCCACTATAAACCTTCTACAAGTCTCAAAAGCAGGGAGAGAAATCCAGCAGAACTGCTCCTTTCTACCCATACCACAGGGAAAGCACCCTCCACGCATCGGACATCTACTTGTTTATTCAGCTTGCAGGGACCAACAGCTGTGGAACAGACCTAAGGAATATGGAATGCATGGAGGTAGATGTCCGTTACAAACGGCACAGTGCAGTGATATGAAAGTGGTAGCGACCTGAATAAGACACAGCAGAACACTGTTCCTCTGTTTAACACAAGAAGTGGCAGCTCTGATCACCTTTCCTTATGTCTTATCCCTTCCTCACTCTTTCACCTCTAAACTAAACTAATTCAAAGCCATAATTCTTTTGTTGAGAACTGAAAACTGTTACAAAATAAACAAAACTACTTTTTGATGTTTATTTGCAGCATCAGTTTAACAACAAGCCAAAACTCTGCTACACATATAAATGGAACAGTAACAAAAGGAAAACCTTGTGTGAATGACTCATCAACTGCAAGACTTAAAAAATACCTATACCTTTAATTTAAGAAATTAAAATAACATCTAACCCAATCAATATGTCAAGATGTTAGGCTTTCTTTAAACCCATAGCCACAAAAACCATATCTCCTCCCACATTCCATGTCAATATCATGAACTAATTTAACATTAGTTAATATATAAATAAAAATACAAACAACTTGCTGAAAAACAATTTCCAGTATTCAAAGCACAACAAGAGTCAGCCAAGTCACATGAGCTTCTGTTATTGTTGCCTACACTGTTTGCCATCAATAAACTCCATTAATTTGGAGGTGACTTGGATACCTTCACACAAGCTGTCTCCATATCCTATCTAGACTGATCTATAGGGGAGCAAGCCTAGATGGGAAACTGAAAGGTAAACAGAGTTACTCCAAACAATCAGCATCATAGCAATTGAAATGAAAATTTAGGTCTGCACATATCTCTCCTTTTACATTTAAGCCAGATAAACTCAGCCAGCCTACGTGGCAGCAAATCCACTGACATCAGTGGAACCAATCTAATCTGAACTTGGATCCAAACGCAGGCCAGAAGCTGCCCTTTCAAACAGCTTAAGAAAAAAAATACAATACGTATGCCAATGACACTGACATATGTCTATGTGTTATAGGAGAATCCTCAGGATTCAACTTGTGAGCCGCACAGCCCTGCCAGCTCACACAGCATCAGCACCAGTCTTGCCAGATTTGATGATTCATTTATAGTGCCAGCTTCTTGGGGCACACAGTTATGCAAGGACCTTCAGTCCATGATGAACTGAGGGAAGTTTCTGCCTGTCACAGTTTGAAATCCCAGTTCAGGAGTGTGATCACTGCTAGAAATACAGAAATCACACTCTAAAAATATCCAGAACTTATCACCATTTTCAAAACCAAGACAGGTGGTCCTATTTCATTACTTGTGTATATCTGCACAACTGGAAAGTGACCAAGGAAATATTAATACACATATTTTGCAATTTTCAGAATGCAGAAGTAAAAAAGTTGTTTTGAATTTAGAAATGAAGGTTAAGTATTTATTGACTAACATTTAGCTAACTTATATTCATTTGTACCATATTACCATTTAGTATATTAACATATCAGTACTGAAAGAAGAAAAAAATGTTACTAACCTGTGGGAATAGCGAGTAAGTTGTATTGTCAATGGTGAAAGAATACAAAAATTCCCCATCAAACCAGAGGTTCTTTCCCATTGGGGAGTTCTGTTTTGTCATCGCAAAGAGCTGCCCAGGGTCACAGCAGTCTTCCAGCAGCTTCCTAGAAAAGGCAACAAAAAGAAAGAGATGCATGAGTTATAGCTCTGCAGCCATCTCTAAAGCCCATTTTTAACTGATGGCCCAAGCACCCGAGTGACCCACAGCTCCTGAGTGCTAGAGAGCAAGCCATTTGTTTTCCCAGCAGTATCATGTGGTGCAGGTGACCATGCTGCGCATCAGATAACAGATACTAACAGAGAACTCAGAAAGCTAGCAGACCTAGAAATTCAAATTCTAACTTAGCAACTTCCTAATTATTTTTTTTTTAGTTTTTACCTAAAGAAGAGCCAGCAACTCTGATTATTTTTTTTTTTTTTTTTTTTTTAGAAAATTTTAGAAGTAGATAAAAGTTAACCCTCCATTCATTCTTGAATGGCAAAGAAATATAAAAAACATTTAGCAGAAAGCAGCCCGTTCTTTTCAATCACTTCTAATTAATAAAAAAACAGGTTCTCCAGCACACACAGCACTCAGAGAAGCACCTTTGAAAACCAAATCTCAGAACCCAAACTCAGCTGTGAACAGTGGGCCTTATATAAAATCCCATAGTTACATAACTTGAGAATGGAAAAATTTACCATCTCTGTTCAGTTATTAAGTATCCTTGTGCTACTTTCACAGCAGTGTTAGAGCTTGTCTGGAGTGCCTGCATGAAGTCCAACTTGAGTCATCTCAGTTTGCTATCTATATATAGCATACATATATATATATACACACACACACAGCAAATATTACACTTCTCCTTTCCTCATCCAAACTGTATATCCTCTTACACTTCCAGTTCCCTAAAATAGCCATTACAGAGCTTGAGCAGCAATGTGAGAGATGGTGAGATGGCTGAAGGTTGTACTTGAGCAAAAATTCTGTATCGTTGCAAGCTCAGCAATTAATATCTTAACAGATTGATGAAAAGCTCCTGACATCTGCAGAGCAGGAATATCTTAAAGCCAACACGAGAGAAGCTTGCTAAAGGAAGGGTGGTGCTCATATTAGTTTGCATCAGTAATAGATAAGATGCAAAAATACACATTGCACAATTATGTCATTATGGTGTATTAATATAATAATAATCATCAATACAAGTTATAATAATTTATCATTTATTTTATAGAGGAATTAAAGAGACTAAAGTCATTCCTGAGGGCTGCATGAAAGCTGCAGGTGGCAAGCAGAAAAATATCACTTATCAGTGTCTCTCTAAATATTTGACTTAGTGCTCTCCTCTGTGAAAGAGATTTTATTCCAAAACAAGAAGTCAGCCACATAAATGTCTCTGCTTTTTTTTTTTTAAAAAAAAGAATTTTCCAGAAGTTTCACAGCTACTTTTCTTCTCTAGAAAATGAAAAGTAAAAAACAGTATTTTCTCCTGAAATGGATTTCTGTTGTAAGTTAATACTTCCTTCTAACTGGGTGAATATTATTTTACATACATATTCCAGCTGAAAATCTGGTGAAAGCTGTAGATTTTTGATCTTTGCAGGGCAGGAATCAGTTTGAAAAGATTGTGACCAGCAGCAGTCTATGGAAATTGCTACTATTCACCAACTTTCTCCTCTTGAGATGTTTAGTGATTTGCTTTTGTAGCTTCCCATCACAGCTCTACCCCCAGCAAAGGGCCACCTTTTGCTGGTATATAGCAACCAGCTTCTAGAACAAGATCTGAGGAAGCTCTTGCATGTAACAAGCTGATCAGCCCACCCTCAGCCAAAGAATCTAACACCTTTTACAAAGACTCCACCAGAAGCTTATGTCAGGCTGTTTTGTGGCTCAAAATGTTAACTATTTATTCCACCGAGCACAAGGCACTACCACATGCCTAGACCTTACCTACCAATGGTAGAGGGCTCAGGACTCCAGAGCACCCTACTGCTCACAGTGCTGTGAGCACAGACATGTTACCACGTGTTTTCCCTGTATGCACCCAAATTCCTCTCCGTATCGACCAGTAATGGATAAGTCAAGCTTAAATTAGCAATGACCTTCAGTTAACAATAGACAAAACTGTTTCTGGAGCTTAGACCACACACTGCAGAGCCGTCTTGTCCTCTGCTGAGCAGTGCATCAGCCAGAGTGGCAACCAGCATTCCCAGAAACACCATCAAGACACCTACAGCCAGGGAGGTTTCCCATCATCCTGCTTCACCATGGAAATGGAAACCAAGCTGAAGGCAATTTGAAATTTCTCACCAAACATCCTTTGCAAGAGCAGTTTGACACAGGCATAATAGAGTACTATTCCAAATAAATTTGAGCATGGAGATTTTACTTGGCTTTCTCCAAGCTTCAGTTTGCAGCCTTTGGAAATTCTATTCCACTCCAACTCTCACTGCAGCTTTTTGAGAAAGCTGAGAGTAATCCAAGATCAGCTGGAGCCTCTAAGTACAACTGTATGGCAAAACTATAGTTTCCAATCAAAACTTGCAACTTCATCTTCACTGAAAATCTGTTTTGAGCAAGAAATGAAAAAAAGAAAAAAGGATAACTTGATGGAAAAGTATCAAGAGATTGCTTCAGATTAATGAATCTTTCCTTATCTGGGGTAAAGGGATGAGCTGAGCAACAGCTTCTCATTCAATTTTTCTCTTCACAGTCTAACTAGATATAATATATATACCTACTCTTCCTTCTCCCCAGAATTGCATTCTTCCAGTTGCCAGCAAGTCCCTTAGTTAATAAACTATTATGAAAAGCAGTAGGTGTCTTCTGGAAGGTTAGAGATAGCCAGAACACTACTTCAAGTATTATTCACCTGCATGTATTAGCACAAAGAACCTTGTGCACACAGACATGCTTTCTGTCACAAAAGAATAATTGTAATGGTCTTACATTATTCAGTTTCTCTTTCTGATTCAAATCCAAAAATTATAAGGTAAGAGAGGCTCCACAAAAAATATGCATTAAAAAGGTATTCAAAGGGGAACTAAAGCAGGGCACTTAGCAGGATGATGGAGTCAGAACAGAATTGCCAAACTTGATTAAAACGTACAACTAAAATGTTATGGCAGATTTTGCAAAACTGAAGCGGCTTTTAACCAAGGATTTCAATTCACCGCAAGCACCAGTCTGCTTGCTGGACATGTATTATGTACCTTTGACTCAAAGTTATCTCCAATTCAGAAGACGAATTAAACGACTTGAATATTGCTATTTAAAAGGCACTCAGGCACTCAGATCTGAGAGCACTTAAGGGATAAATCCCGCTTGTGAGAGAAGCAGGATAAAAGTTACCTCACGTCTCTCACTGCAGACATCCATGACTTGGGCCTGATCAGCATCAACAAGGCCATTAGCCCAGAGCAAGCACTGAAGTGGCCCTGCAGATCAACTCAAACAGCAGCTGCTGCTCCGGGCAGGAGCCCAACAGTGATTTTGAGATGTTATTCACATCCTCACAGTGCATTTTGTTGAGGTTAGATCAGCAGACACTGCGTGCTGAAAAGAGGAACAAAATCCCAGTCCCAAGAATCCTGCACCCAGACAACACAATCTTCATGGGATTTACAGCATACCAGCTCTCGTCTGATCCTACAAAGAGCCTCTAGCACATGGAGAGCATCACCAACATGTGGTAACTGGGGTCAATCAGGAGATCTGCTTCAAAATCCTGCCTCTCACCAAAGGGCTAATACACACATACACATACTCTTCTCCTCCTAGAAGGGGAGAAGCCAGATCTCTTTGGTAAGTCTAAACCAAAATTTGCATGCATAGCCAGTGAAAAGGTTTACATAAAAAAAATAAACCATCAGTTCTGGACTTAAACTAGTGAACTTTTCAGTTCAGTTTCAAATTGCAGCCAATTAAAGCTATATCTTATCCTGGTTTGACATCAGTCCCAGCCAAAAATGACTCAGCAGCTAGATTAAGCAACCCAAGCATCTTCAAACTGACAAAGACAATATCTAAAAGCAGAAACGTGCAATTCCACAGCACAGGTTGTCAGCCTGGAGATGACAGCCCTTTTGCTATTACTTCTCCACAGGTGGGGCAGCTCCTGCATCCCCAGCACAACTCTGCTCCTCCAGCTCCTTTGGCTGGGCTAAGGTTAAAGGCATAAGCCTCATCTGAGATGGAGCAGTGGGTAAAGGTGGCACAATGTGGCATACAGGGGAAAGAAGAAGGGTGAAAGGGTGAAAGGGTCTAAGAGCTACTGGTACCCTGACAGCTGGCATTATCTACACCTTTTTCTGCCCCAAGGGACAGTTTTACAGCAAACCTTCCCACACACCACCCTGCTATCGCCCACACTTCCCACAGCCAAGACGCGTTTACCTGATTAACTCTTCAGCACTCTTTTCCACTGCCAATGCAGCCTGGGGTGGAAAAATCCACCTGTAACTGCATCTTGTGCTTTGCTTTGCTAAATATGGGATTTCTCATTTGGATTTATGTCAACAGTTCTGGCCTGATTTGGCCTAGTTCCATGATTAATGGGGCTGGGGAACAAAGTACCCCTGTCCTAAGAAAGGAGGAAGGGAAAAGGTGAATGAGACAGCTAGGGCGCACACACCGCAAAGACCAGCGGAAAAGAAAGTCTCATGACTCCCAGACAGCTTTATCTTCTAATTGGAAAATGGAAAATGAAGTCTTCTGGGAACTGTAGCTCATTCTTCTCTTCTGAGAAAGGTATAGCCAAAATATCGACAATCCACAGAACTGCAACATTAACTTTTTAACTCCCAGTGCATTACATGACGTTATGATGTGGAATACCAATAATAGAAATCATAAAACCATGACAGTCTACTGAAAAATTAGGAAGGTTATCAGGTAAGTGAGGCTGCTCTATCTCATGGGCCTGTTCTCCGGATCACTTAATGCCCTGATCCTTTTCTCATCTGCCAACTACATTTTAGTGTTCTCCCACAGATCATTTAAGTAACAGGTCAAGAATCAATCTCTGCAAGGGGCACAGGGGAGAGGGTGGGAGGGGAAGTAACGCTAGTTTAAGCATTCACTAACATCAAGACATTTGATGAAGATAACATTTAAAGGAACAGG